AAAGCAAAGTGAAAATTTTAATTTTCACTTCACAATTACACTTCACAACAAACATCTTTGCCTTTACAGTATTATAAATTTCAAGACAGACATTTTCAGATTTAAGCACTGTTCTCTTTCTGAGGTCATCTGAGGCAATGTTAGGAAGGTTACTGGTGAAATTCTACTCTGCTATAAAAGAACCTTTAAACAAACCCTACTCTTACTTCAAAAAAGCAAACAAAAAGATGCAACTAAATCAAAACTAAGGGGAGGAAATTAGTATCTATGTATCAGGATTCTGTACGCCACACATTCTAAAGCATACACTGACAATCATATGTTCCATTATCACTCTATTAATGAGAATGGGAAAGCCATCCCATCTCTACTGGAAAAGAGAACAAATGCAATGCAAGTAGATGTCATGAATAAACTCCATACAGTCATATACGATCTACAGGCATGGAATATGGGATAAGATGAGAGCCTTTCAACTATGTATCTGGATATAAACTCAAATCAAGAAACACTGATGACGTGACTTCTCACTCCTGCTCTGCAAGAACGCACAAACATCCAAACTAATGGTCATCACTTACATATGAAGGTATTAATTAAAACATCAGCATGTAAGAGAGAAATAATCTCATGCCTCACATATCTTTAACTTCAGAGTCTCCAATTCCTTCAGTTCAAAAGGAAACTATCACGGTAAGCAAATTAAACAGTGAGTAAAAGCCTCTTATCACTGAGATTCCATTCACTGTTTTTTTTCATGCTTATATATTTATACTTATATATTTTAAAACTATTTTAAAAGAAAAAAAAATCCAGAACTTACTTCCTCTTTAAAAAGTAAAAGTCACATTCAACATTGTGAAATTATGAAAAGGAAACTAGACATTTGTATGGATCACAATCAACAAACATAGATGGTTTTCTCACAGCCAAAAAAAAAAAAAAAAAAAAAATCAGAAAGAAATGCTTTTATGAAGACTTTCAGCTACAAACAGAAGAGTTACCATGGATAAAGTAGTTACTACAGATAAAGTTAAACCTTGCGCTCAGGAAAGAGTGAAACTGATGTCGGTCAGTCTTGAAACGTTCTATTAACGGAGGAAGTACAGCTTTTCTGTATTTCTGTAGCTCATTTGGAGAGCTAAGTTTTGGGAAGAGTGCTGGGGTTCCTCATAAATGTACCAATTGGAATCTATGTTTTGAAGATGAGTGCCCACCAAGATGTAGCTTTGAAAGGAAGGCAGATTACAGACAAAAAACAAAAACAAAAAAAGACCCTTGCATTTAGACAAAGAGATCTGACAGTAAGTCCTAACAAACCAATCCTTACCCTCCCACCTAAACCTCTGGGAGAAAGTTTGCCATAAGCTCTAAGGCACATCCAAAATGTGAAGGGCATCACCACTAAGAAGTGATCTCACAACTTGCATGCTAATTATGTGGAGTATTTAAGTCATGACAATTTACCTCATAATGCTGAAGACTGGCAAATTACTTTTTAGTTGAAAAATCAACAGTGTATAGTTCTAAAACAGTGTTCAACAGACACTGACAATCTAAAAGATATTGCTACCCACTTTTCTCGAAGATAATTTTTACAATTTTTTAATGCTTTTTTGTTTGGATTTTGTTGAGTTTTTATTCTGGCTGTTGTTTTATTTGTTTGGGTTTGGTTTTTTTCTGTACACTACTGAACTTCAGATACATTCAATTTCTTTGTTTGGAAGGGGTTCCCAGGTAAGCAAAGCTCTGACATTTTCAGAAGCACATTTGCTCCAAAGTAATAAATTCAGACATCATGTGTATCTGCTGTGCTATTTCAATAAACTACATGTTCTCATACACTTGAAGATGCTAAGGTAACCTTTCACATTACAGTACAAACAGGTAAACCAAGGCCTAAATTTCTGCATTCAGCAGCCTTTGCCTGCTTTGTTGTATAGCCCCATGGCCACAGCTGACACAGAATTGTAGCGTTTGGAAGGAATTTCTGGAGGGCAGGTAGTGCAACCCCCTGCTAAAGAAGGTTCCCTACAGCAGGCTGGACAGGGAAGCATCCAGGCAGGTTCTGAGTATCTCCAGAGAAGGAGACTCTACAGCTCTCTGGACAGCCTGTTCCAGTGCACTGTCACTCTCAAAGTAAAAATGTTCTTTCCCACGTACAGATGGAACTTCTGTGCTACAGTTTGTGCCCACTGCCCTTTGTTCTGTTACTGGGCACCACCAAAAAAAGCCTGGCCCCATCCACTCGACTCCCTCCCTTTAGATATTTATAAGCAGCGATACGATCCCCTCTCACTCTTTTCCATACTGAAAAATTCCAGAGCTCTCAGCCTCATCCTCCCCCATGAAGACAAGGGAGATGCTCCAGGCCTCTCATCATCTTTGTGGCCCACTGCTGAACACTCTTTAGAAATTCCCTGTGTTTCTTCAACTGGGAGCCTAGAACTGTACACAGCACTTCAGGTGTAGCCTCACAAGGGCACAGTAGAGGGAAAGAATCACCACTCTCGACCTGCAGGCCACACTCTTCTTAATGTGCCCCTGGATACCATCGGCCTTCTTGGACACAAGTGCACACTACTGTCAGTCAAATCATTTTAGTCTTTACTTAGCGGAAGAATAAGTACCTGAAGAAGAAATCATAAGTGCTGCACTTCACTAAAACCCCTTACTTAGAAAAAAAGTCTCATGAAGGTAGAAAGCTGTACATCATCACCTTGTCAACATACCAAGGATGGTAAAATTATCCCAAAAAAGAAGATGGGTCTGAGATTTGCTTTTTTTTTCCAAAACAAGTAAAAAGCAATTCAAAAAAAGAGCAAAGACAGAAAATGCTGAACACAACAAAATCTAATCTACAAAACAAACATCAGCTTTGTATTATCAATATACTCTAGAGTCACATGCTTCAATCTTGACCTCAAGAAAGGCTAGCAACCAAATATTTGTTTTATATCCTTGTTTAAAAAACAAACATAGACTCCAAATCAATTCAAAGCAGTTCAAATTTCATCCAAATACAACTGTGAAGTGCAATAATGGTATTTGCTAAAGTAAGCATTCCATGTCTGATAGGAACATCAATGATTATGATGATAAATCCACATCATATATATTAACTAACCAAACATATGGCTGTGATCCTAACCAGAAAAGCTAAATCATGTTAACTATCTAATTCTAATCACTGTACTTTTCTAAGCAATTAAATTTAAAAAAGTGTTTGTACTGAGTCTACCTATTCTTACACTTACTCTTTTATTCCTCAGACAAGAAGCAATTATCAGTTCATTTTTATGAGAAAAAAAGTCAGAAATGGACTCCACAGTTTGCTGTCTTTCCACAACTGGAAACAGCAAAAACTAGGTGGTCCATGCCCCCAAAGTACAAATGTTTTCTTTCTGAAAGGAAATTCCAGAGAGGAAAACAAGTCTGAACAAATATATGACATTCATTAACACATTTATATAAAGTTTGGTTTCATGTCTATAAACATACACTGGTTAGCAAAAAGAGTCTATAAAAAAGTGCTATAAACCAAAGTGTCCCCATTATAACAGGAAAATAATTTGCAAAATTTTTCAACATGCAATTCAAAGCAATGGCATTAGGGGGAAAAGGGCTAAAAATGTTCTGTTGTCTCCTGATTTCCCTTTGAAAACAAGACAAAACAAAATCAGATCATGCACTCTTCTCAACAGAATTTTACATTATGGCACACAGGTACAAGAGTTTAACAGCATTTCAACTGGATTTGTAGTACAAATGGTAGGGTATTCTGGGAACGTTTACAGGTAAAAATTGTTGAAAGTCACCAATCAACACAGAATAATAACCCAAGGCAAGTAGCATGAAGCTGTACAAGTACGCAAAGAGCGTTTTGCTGGCAGACACCTCATGGTCGCTTTAACTTCGATAATATCGGGTAACAGCACGCCTGCCCTCGCTTTCAGCACAGGAGCCGCGGACTCCCCCCGCATCCCGCCACGGGCCGCCTTCAGCACCGTGCTGCGGACAGCGCCCGCTGCTCGCCATCTCGCGGCCGGGCTCCAGGAGGGCCCGTTTCGGCACGCGACGGACGCACAACTTCCAGAGCAACTCCCCGCTCCTTCTCCAGGGACCGCGGCCCCTTCCTCCCAGCAGCTACAGACTGCTACGCGTGCTCTCACCGCCGCTGTCGGCCCAGGCTCTCCATCCAAGCTCCAAGCCCGACGCGCGAAAGGCTCGCTCGCATCTCTCCTCTCCCTTCCCCACGACCGCCGCTCGCATACTCGCACGGCCAGGGGCTGCTCCCGGCCACGCCGCTCCGCCACCGCCCGCCGCTCTCCGCGGCGCGCCAGGATAACCGCAACCCCGTGGAGGCCGAGGAGCCCCGCAGCCTGCGACACGCGCACCGCCTCGAAACCGCTCTTCGCAGCGCCTAGGTCGCGAGGGGACCAGCCACGAGCCGGCGGCGGCGCCCCGCCGGCCCTCCTCCCCCTCCCGCGTCCGCCCCAGGCCGCCAGGAAGGGCCATCCGAAGGCGTGGGGCGAGCCGCGCTTCCAGGCCCCCCGGGGCAGGCTGCCGGGCCGCTTTCGCCCCGCCGCCGCCAGGCCCGGCTCCCGCCCGCCCGTTCTTTTCGCCGTCCACAGGCCGCCCTCCCCAACGTCTTCGCCCTCCCGGCCCCGCCGCAGCCGCCGGAGGGGGAGAGCCCCGGGCCCCGCGACGGGCGCCCACCCCCGCGCCGCCTCCCCTCCAAGCGGGGTGCCCCGGGCCGACCCACAGCTGCGGCGCCAACGCCGCCCGCTCTCGCACACCCGGAGCCGCCCCCGCTCCCCGCTCCCCGCTCCCCGCTCCCCGCTCCCCGCTCCGGGCCCGGCCCGAGGCCTCAGCTCCCTGCGCGGTGGCGGCGCCGCAGGAGGCGGCCGGGGGGGGGGGAGCCCCCGGGACCCCGACGGCGCGGACCGACCCGCGGAAGCCCCCCGACCCGCGACGGGGGCCCCGTCGGCGGCCGTTACCTGTGAGCACCCCGACGCGGATCTGGTGATCGTGGTTCGTTAGAATCATCCCCTCCGACGCCATGTTGCCCGGCGCAGCCACCGCACTGACAGCAGCGGGAGGGGGGGGAGGAGGGGCGCGAGCTCGAGAGCGGCGCGAGCGCAAAGGGGGAGGGGCGGGGGCGAGTGGGGCGGGGCCAAGGCGAGAAGGGGCGGGGCGAGCGCCGGCCGCGAGGAGCCGTTACGAGCACGAGAAGCAGCGGCTGAAGAGCGCAAGAGTAGCGTGCCACGGGCGGCGCTAATCGAGTGCCGAAAGCGCCCGGCCCGGCGCCGCGCCGTTGGCTGCCGCGGCCGAAGGGAAGACGCCGGGCCGGTCATGGGGGTGCTGGGCACGCGGCTGACCCCTCTGTCCCGGCCGGCAGTGCCGGGTCCCCTCGGCAGGCGGCGCCACTCGGCGCTCGGAACGCCAGGGCCGGTGCCAGCCGTGCGCGGGTAGCCCCGTGGTGGGCTGCAAACTTGTGCGCGCCGAGAGCGGCTCTTCCGCCCTCTGCACGTCCCGGGCCGGCCCCCGGTTTGCTATAACGCCGTGTCACTCGGCACAGTCTCCGATACTAGGTGCAGTTTTCTCCGCATTTGAACTCGCAGCCGAGTCGCTCTTGAGCCGCAGAACCTGAAATCACTTTTGTCTTCTCATTACACAGGTTTAACAGCTTGATTTTTGAGCTCTCCGATACTGAGAAAAGATAACAGGGTTTGCCTTTGCTCTAGGCGAAATACAGCAGAGCAGAAAGTTCCGACGCAACTTTGTATGTCCCTGGTCACTGCGAGGCTGCTCAGCGCTCTCCCATGGCCCCTCTCATCTCTCTCCTCAGTTCTTCCCCTCTGCTCCAAGAACTTCCATCACACCCCCTGTGGATAAAGTCATGCCGTGCTTTCAGCATGCTTGGTTTCTGCAAGCACACCTTCACTTTGCACAGATACGTAGTCAGATGTCTTCCACAGTTAACAATAATGCTATACAGCCGATTACCCACAATCAGAGTTCAAACCCTCTGGCTCCAGCTGAGTTTTATATTTTTCTATGTTGGTGTGATTTCAGTACTACCTTTCTAGTAGCAGACTGGGGGTTATCCTCCTTTTGGTTCTGTACTAATGAGCAATTACTGACAGCATTTGTAATTTACACAGCTGTTAACAAATGTTTTCAGAAATTTCCTCTTTAGCATATCATTTTCTTGGGTGGAATTCTAGTGGAGAAATGAAGGCCTGAAGAAATACCCTGTGTCTCAGGGAAAGCCATGCTAGTAGCACTTTCACGGGATGGTGCATCGGCATATGATACCACTATTTTCATATTGGCACAGCAATTGCAGTGTGCAGCCACAGAGACTGAGAATTCAGGCTCCTGAGATCTCTGGTTATGCAATGGTATAATACAACATATGTGGGTGGGTGTAAGCCTGAACCCAAAACAGCATGGTTTCTGAAGATACTGCATCGCTGGTGCTCGTACTTCTGTTCCCTCGTGGGTTTGGTCGCTATGTGTTGAATATTCCACTGTAGACAAAGCAAAAAGATTTTTTTCTCTAATATATCTGAAATTATCTGAAGTACAAGCAGGAAGCGTGACACTTCATAGCTTCCCGCAGAGGATTTCACACCCAACACTAAAGGCAGTAGTGCTTACTCAGACAGCTCAGTTTCCCTTTGTAACTGATTGATATGCTGCTCTTGTGGAGTAAGGAGGGGCAGAATTAAGATTTCACTGGCAACATTAGTGTTAGCACTTCCTGTGGGATTTGTGTGGGATTTCTTTGTATGGAAACATAGTAGAGGATTGTGTTAGTGTGATGAAATAGTGTAAGCTTACAACATTTTAAAAGACTAAGCCAAGAAGAGGCAGAAATCAATACAAGGGGATTTTAATGTTGGGATATGAAAGTAAATTAGACTTAATATAAAGGCAGATCCATAGTAGCTCAAGAGAAGATTGTAAAAGGGTGGTTTTCTGCCATCAAGTTTTCATCAGAATGGCAAACAAGTTTGTGTGAGAAAGTCTTTTTGCTACAGGCAGACATTCTGGGAAATGTTTCTGGCAGTCCATACCAGAGTTCATGTTGACTGTCTAGAGAAAAGCAACTTTTTGTCATCAAAGTCAATATGCAGCTGGGAGTCGTATTTTGCCCTGGTCATGCCAGCATAAATTATGGCTCAGTTTGCTAACCTCTCAGGAAATGTTTTACATTGCTGTGTCTGTCAGTTGTTAATTATCAATATCTGTCCATTAATAAAGGATTGCCCTTTAATCAAGCTATCTATTTCAGCCATGTTTGTTCCATGTCTACTAGCTGACACAGTAGGCTTTCTTATCAACCATAAATACTAGCTGTAGTATATTTCAGTGACTCATTTGGGTGAAACAATTTGGATGTACAAGACAAACTTTATGTTTAGAATCTTGATGAAGAAAAAACAGACCAGTGTGATTAAAGGAAGATGCCATTTTGTTCTTTTGATCACAATGTGAGGAAGGATGTTTTACCAACTCACTGATAGTTATCAGAACAGGACAGTCAATAGTTAGAATAGCTGTTAATATTTCTACAATTTTATTGTCAGACCAATCTATGGTTTCCATAAACCATCTATGGTTTCAGGTTTTGTTGTGTTTGGTTTGGGGTTGATGTTGTTTTCATGGTGGCTCCATAAATTTATTTTCTTAACTCTTATTATTTTTATTTAGATTTTACTAGTTGTATCAGCAGTGGGACACAGCTATTTGATTGTATGGCATTGGTATAGATCCAGCTGAAGTCATGAAGTATTGGCTTAATGAATCATTATTGGAATTCAGAACAATTTATTTCTATGCCACTGGTGCAAATCCAAGTAAGGTCAAGAGACTAGCTGGCTCAGTGGTTCAGTAATAGGAAACAGACTTCCACCTCCAACTTACTGATGCCATTCCATAAAGTGTCAGGAAAATAAGACTTAAATAACAAAGCTTTTTCATTGTGGCCATTGGTTTAAAGTCAGTCTGTTATACATGATTGCTTTCCAATCTGTTTTTAACAGTCTGTATTGATCTATAAATTATTTTAAAGGGTAGAATAAGCATGTATTCTGCATAGCTGCTGCTACAGAACAATATTCATCACTGTAAAAAAAAAGAAGGCACAAGAGACAATCTCTCCAAACAACTCTTCCTTTAGGAAAGCATCTGGGAGAAACAACGGAACACACCACATTTTAGTTATAAGACCAGCAAATTATGTAAGTGTCCTCATGGACCATGCCGCCTTGTCCATGTGCCATCCTTGCCACACCATCCTTGCCAGAAGCCTTGTGAGGAATTTACGGGTTTGCACCTCCAGTCAGGAGCCGGAACCCAGCTTCAGAAACTGTCCTAACCATTAATGAGAGGGAAAGTGTGTGGTTTGCTTAGAGTAAAACCTCATTATTCCTTGCATTGTACCCAATTTGCAAAGCCAGATTTGTCTTTTAAGGAAAGACTCCCCACATCTACCTGAAAGATTACAGAATGAGAGAAGCTCTTAACTTCTCCACTTGGTAACAAACTACATCACAACATATCTCATTCCCAATTTCAATATATGCACTGACAGGCATGTGGAAAACTCCTAAAGAAGCGTGGCCTGAACAGATATCCTTGCATACAGCCTCTTTTCTTCACTGTTTCCTCCTACTCAGATACCTGCCATAGTGAAACTTTTGAAATGGCACCATATGTTAAGGAGACAACCTCATGTATATTCTCAGAAACAACATCATCGAGCAGTGTGAAGCTTATTGAGCGTATATGGTATGATTTTGATGGCTCTGTGGTAGTGACAACCGTATAAATCCATGTGATGATGCACCCCCCAACCTCCTCCTCTGGCCTCATCATTATGCCCAACACTGTCCTGCTAACTACTCTGACTATGAGCCAATCATCTTATCCCATAAGTAGAGTCCCCTGAGCTCTAATTCTCATGACTGCGTGTGACTTCCCCAGTTCCTTCTAAATATTGAGAAGCTTGAGTGAGTGTAGTCACAGGGTGGATTATCTGGAGTAATTATTGTAAATAACTTATTGGGATACCCCTCTCTTAGAAGAAGAAAAGTACTGAAGAAACTTCCAGGGTGGAATGCAGTGAATATTCTAGAAGTCTGATCCATGTAGTTCCCTATGCAACCTAAGACCTGCAACTCTTCGATTGCTGACAGCACTGGGGGAACTTGGTATGCTGACTCTGAGATATAGCACAGAGGGTGGACCAAGGTGTAAAACTCCCAGCCAGACTCTATGATAAGATCATGGGCATGGGAACTTGTTATTATGGAACTGATAAACTGCATAGTAATCATCCTGAGTTAGCAACTTTTCAATTTTCTGTTGCACCAATCATAACAAAGATAGGTATGATTAGAAACACTCAAACTTCACCTGAAAGTAAGATAAAAGATAGAAGGAATTTTGAGGAAGATACCTTTGCAGACAAATGAGGACAAAGCTGATTTCTGGGACTAGTCAATGGGCTGAGCCTCTCCTTCTCTCCGCAGGGATGCCTGTCGGGTAAGATTCAGATCCTTAAACCAAGTTACACCAAGTGCCTCCCCCAGCAAACTTAGAAATCTCTATAGACTTATTCCATAGTTTAACACGTTTTTGGACAGCTGTATTATTCACATTATTGGTATTTACACTTTCTCTGTAGGCAGTGTATTTATCACTGGCAATTTAGAAGAATCTGTAATCTGTTGCTCCAATACAGAATGTTACTCTATAAGCAAGTTGTGAAAGTTCTTGTTGTTGCGGCCAATGGTCTTACAAGTCCTTTAAAACATGATAGAACCTGTAGCACCAAAGTAGGTATTAAGTCTTTAACCCAGCACTCTCCAACCTAGTTCCCTTGCAGTCATTTTTTTTTCCTCTCATACTCTGGTCAAACTATAAAAGCAAGTCCTTCCCCAGCATCTTGCCTATGAGTAAGGGTGTAATAAAACCATATCTTCTAGGTATTCAGTACACAAAGCTGATCCAGACTGTATTGTTTAAGATTTCAGATGTTGTCATTTTGCCACTCAGTTGAAAAACATTTGTTTCTCCACGAGTCTGTGGATATTAATGTTGCATAGATCTCTGTCCAGGGCATAGCTGTTTGTGTTACATTAGGCAGAAACATTTGTTTCTATACAGACTTCAACAGCCAGAATTTAAGAAGTGCCCAGCAGGGAGGTCCCAAACTAAAATACACCCTCAGCTCAACACCAAGGGTTTGAACCTGTCATTTGGAAGCAGTGAAGGTCCTGAAGATCCTGTAAAAAGGATCCTGCAGCTTTTGTTTTTGTCCATCATTCACTGAGCTGGTTCTCTGTATCACCCTGAAAACATACTTGATATTTCACATAGTTCTTTTCCTCTGCCAAAGTAGGACTTTCTTGAAGAACGGTACATTAAACAAGGGCTTCCACTTCCAAAAATTTGGAAATTGTACCTGCCAAAGGTAATTTTTCATTACTTTTGCAGGGATAATGAGAAGCTTGACACTTCTGAGTACCAATTCTTCTGGGTCACTGCAGTCCTTACTGACAACCATCCAGCAAACAACCTATCTAAGAGGAAAGCTGAGGTCTTTGAGAGAGGTACGCACTACATGCAGCATGACTACAAATGCACTTCAGTGGATTAACTACTAGTCTGAGTGCCTAACAAAAATAAATGAATCTTAGTATGACTCCACATGAGTGGCGTTGACACATTCAATTGTCTGTGCTTCATTTGCTACAAAACAGTAGCTATTTTAGAAAAGCTGTTGATGAGTTTAGCATATACAAAGAGTAGACAGATTTTAAAGACACCATACTGGAACATTCTATTTTTGAAATTTCACTTTGACAAAACTGCCTCATTAAGGACCTCGGTATGTAAAGCTGGAGAATGATTTCAACCTCATGTAAACTAAATTCAGAATTCTGATGAGCTGAATCAGTTCGTTTCCACACATTATTTTCCTTTATCTATATTTCCTCATTTCAGTGTGAGAGATGAAATAAAAACATGTGAAATTTTGGTCTCCATTAATAAGCAAGACAACTCTAAACTGTAAGAAATAAGGAAAGAAGAAGAAAGGGAATGCAAGAATTTGAATCCACATTTAAATTATAATATTTCAGAATGAAGTAGCCACAAATGATCATTACACACCAAGGACAAAATTGAACAAATTACAGCTTGCTCTTATCCTGTTGATTGGTCAGATGTTATGGAAGTATTAAATATACTAAAACAAGTCCTCTGAGGAAGAAGAGGACACTGTGTAGGAAAGGGCAGACACAACCTCCTGCCAGCAAATTATACCTCCTGTAATCAAATTATTCAACACTTTTTGAAGAATAGTGTATTTGAACTCTGAATTACTTGATAATTGGTTTCAAAGTATTCCTTAGCCTTCAGACATATGCAGCTATGCCAACAAATTAAATTCAGGTAAAAAGTGAGTAGCAGAACCTTCTCAACTAATATTTTGTGTGATCCACAGACTATAAGAATGTGTACTATGGCTCATGCTTAGTCAATGATAGCGTAAGAAGGTTTAGCATCTGTTCCTTTTCTGTAAGCTTGGTTAGTTTTCCATATCTCAAAAATAAAATTATTACCTTATTTACTAATTCTTCTTACATATCTTTGTTCAGTAAATGAGGCTTGCCAATGTGCACATTTTCTACATGTGCACAGAAGACTACCAAATGGCCCAAATGACATGGCGCATTTATGCACCATTAGTGTAGTTGTATTAAATACAGAAAGATTTTAATACGTATCACCTCAGTATTATTAGGGGGTTGTAATTTATTTATTTATTTTTGGACAAGGCTGCATATTTTGCATAGTAGCTTTTGTCTTGCTCCAGAATACTTTGTTATCTGATTTCCAACTCAGACATTTCTTTAACTTTTGATGTAGTCAGACTGATATAAAATATCTACCTCTTCCACAGTTAATCAAACTTCAAGTAGCAGTTGAAAAAAAAAAAAAAGAAAAAAACATTTTTAAGTTCAAACCTTTCTTTACATCTTCTCATTTCCTGCATTTGTCAGTCCCGCACTGGCTTTACTTCTATCTGTCCTTCTGCACTGCCTATTTAAAATACTAGTCTAATTGCCATAATATCCAAGCATACCACAATCGACATATTCATCTGCAAGGTAAGCCGCTATTACTTTTGTTTATAGAGAAGGCTAACAGAGCTATTCAGGTTGCATTACAGCCGACTTGCTGATGGATGCTGTGGGATCATGGTTTCTTGATTAAGGACCTATTGCAGTCTCCTGGGATTCCTCATGAAGCAGCACATGGGCATACTCTTAGGTCTCATCTCAACAGAAACATGAAACTGGACAGAGCGTTCAGCTGGGACCTGGAAATTTGAAACTGCTGCAGATCTCCTGTCAAATATTGGCCTGAAATCTAACTTTAAATCTACACCTCTCAGAATGTTAGGCAGCAGGCTGTCAGCCAGTCAGGATGGGTTAAGGCTTTTTAGTCATTCTTGTTTACAGTTTACTTTGAGTTAATAATTTTTCTTAAGCAAACATTGCTAAAGAAATGTAAGACCCAAGTTCTAATGCTGATTCTAATCAATATTTAACCTAAAACTAGAACAGAGACTGAAAGTGAACTGTTTCTGTGTCCATCACCTTGCTTGTAAGTTAGACAGTCGTACTCACGACTTAAATTTGTGGGTTTTTTCTCCCTTTCTCCTCTATTAGTTGGAGTAGGTTACCTTGGTGGTCTTTTCCAACCTTTATGATTCTATGACTCTATGATTTCCCCTCCCCCCCCACCCCCTAAATGACTCCTTCTTTTCCTTTTTTACTCTGTTTGTCAGTACTGAACTTTACGATCTAAACCATGTAAATAAATCTACTCACATTAAATCTTATTGGCATTAATAAAGACAATTACTTAAATGAAGCCAGGCATTCTCACAGAATCAATCCCACGTGGAAAAAAAAAAAAAAAGAAAAAAGAAAAATAGAAAAGGAAAAAGAAAAAAAAGAAAGAACAATTTTTTGTTTGTTTTGCTTTCTAGCCAAAAAGAGATGGTTTTAAAATTTTAATGGGCAAATGCAAAAGTTTCTGGGTAAAATAAGAAATACTAGAAGATATTTTGTATTGAACAAAGCATTTGGTTCAATCCAAAATGAAATATCTCTCTTCGATTTTCATGTAGATCTTAGTTGATCGACTTTTATTAAGTCATATTGGCAACTTCCAAAGAGAAAAAAACATATGCTGAAAAGAGAAATGAAAATGTCGTTTGAAAATATGAGTGTTTCAGATTCTAGTGCTGATGTACTTGAGAGAAAGACTATCAAATTGCAAGTGCTGCTCCTGCTGAGATGCATTACTGCAGCCAAAAGGGGGAAGTTTTGCTCCTCATCTTTCCTGCTCCACTCTCCTCCTTTCTGTATTTCTTTCCACACCTGATCCTTGTTCCTTTCTGGTGCAATGCCCGTCAGACTCCTACATCAGTTAATGTATTTCACTGCTACAGCAGGAATCTCTGAAGGATTTTAATACAATCTGGCAGGAAAATAACTCACAGATGGGTCTAAGGAGTGCCAGAGACAGCACAGTAATCAGCGTGAATGGGATGCAGGGGTCAGTGGAAATTTGGACAGGTGCAACAAGATCTGACTCTTTTGTCTGTTTTGTTAGCTTGCCACACTCCAGAGACTGCCATCCCAAAGAAGAACTGTTTGTAAAAAAGATGGTGTTTCTGACTACACCAGAGGCTTGTATGATCAAATTCTTGTTCCTTTGAGACAGTTGTATTAGAAAAATGGATATCTTACCATTTCTTCCAATCCTGCTCCCTTATTTAACTGTAATGTTTCTAAATTCTCATCTGCTTTTCTGTTACTTTAAATACTTATCGAACTTGAAAGATAGGAATCACTTGAAATCACACTTTCCAGCAAGTAAGTTACTCTAGAGTTATTTCATCTAGAAACAGAAGAGACAAGATGTTGGCTTTGTTTACTGATGTATCACTATTTACCTGTATATTTTGAAACACTTAGAAATTAGTTAACCTCTGTTTCCCATCTCTTAACGATTAGGAAATTGAGTCAAAAATACAAGTGCCCAGGACTCTTCAAGCCCAGCCCAGCCCAGCCACTGGCTAGGTTAGCTCACTCTAGCATGCTGCTTATGAAAGCGGAGGCATTATTTTATTTTGTAGAAATGCCAGTTGTTTTCAGTATAACCTTTCTTCCTTTCACTTTCCCCCAAGATTAAGTGTACATGACAGATACTAATTGTACTGATATCTCTAGCGCGCTCAAGAGCTATGGTAATTAGTACAGCAGCTGAATCTGTATAGAACAAGATCCTCAGAACTTTAAACACTAATCATGTGAAAAACATGTAAAAAAGATGTGTAAAAAATGTTGAAACCCTTAACATTGCTAAAGAGAAAGGCGTAGACCTGAAAACAGCTGCAGCAAACTCCTCACAAGATATTAAAGTAAGCACAGAGCAAGAAGTCCTGATCTTGCTTTCTGAATTTAGTCGATGTCACCCATGACCTTAACAGGGAGCTTTGTCTAGGTGCGAAATGCAGCATTTGGTTTTATTTACCAGCCTCCAAGGATAAATCCATTCTGGCCAGATAAACAAAACAAGACAGTAATAGTATACAATAGTCTTGTACACTAAACCATCAAAAATACTTGGTGTTTCACTTTAATTACAGAGCTTTTGATATAGATTAGAAATTTGTCTGCTTTCAAAGAATCCTCTCTCCTACACTGTGTTTTTGAATTGCTTGCTCAAGAAATACCTGAGCAACCATTCATCCACAAAGCATTTTGCCACTGTGTATAGGCACTGCTAACACTTTAAGAGAGAGCCATAGCTGCTAAAGCTGATGACAAACACTGTCTTTTCAATTACTGTAAATTGTGCCCTTATTATTAAGGTAGTTTGTATTCAGGATGACTTTCCAAATTAAATTTCCTTCTGAATATACTCATCAAGAATATACTTCCAGGAAGGAAAGACTATTGCTACATGCATCTCTTATCATCATCTCCAATAGCTCTCTCAAATAGGTATGTATTTCTTCCACTGTCTCCTTTCCCCTAGTGACAAATCAGTTTCCTAAGTCACATGATGGGAAAAGGTCATCTTAGACCACATGATAAAGCAAGGGTTCAGCCTAAAAGCTGCAGCTGGGATTGATTCTGCAAGTGCTGTTCCTGTAAGCCTGTTCCTGTGAGTCCACATGGAACACGCCCAAGCTGTAAAACAAGTCATCCAGCAACACCTCACATGTTCACAGCCTAAAAAAGACTGTTGTGCTGCATGTACAAGAGATATAGGCCTAGCAGCTGGAAAGTGTGGGAGAGGACTCAGCTGTGTGAATCGTGCATTGGCCTGAGGACACTGCATGTATGTGCAACCATGGTGTCTGATGGCTTTCAGACATGAACTTGGGAACCCAGTTTTCCAGAGATTCAGTGTTCCAGCCCAGCGATATCCAGCACATCAGAAAAAAAAGATACTTAAAAGACAGAACAAAAATAACCCAGAAGCAAATTAGTGATGCGGACAGTAATCTGGGTAGTGTGCAAAATATGTTATCTAATGGATTGCACTTACCCAGACTTCTACAGAATTTACTCCAGAACAGACTGTTCTCTGGTAGCATATGCCATCAGTGAAAAGGAGGTGATTTCTGAAAGACCAGATGTGATAATTAAGTTATTTAAGAGTCTTCTATATTTATTTTTTATATCTACTAGCTAACTAGGTAAATCGCTGCCTTGCTAAAAGGGAAGCAATTTGCAGAGGAAGTCTATTGAGGACTTTGGACTTAAAAAGTCAAAGTTGATAAAATTTTGTGGAAAAACTGTCTCAGTAATTTTTTTACTGAGAAAGTCAGCTATGGAGAACTGGAGTAATTGTGCAATTTCGCTTTTGAAGTAATGAGAGTGCATCCGAATTTGTACAAGAGCCATTATACTGTAGAATGAGTTCTTACTCGAGGTGAAGTTGGGTGAATGCTTTCCCAGGGGCTTCCAAAAAAACACTACTTAAATATTTTTTAAAGTAGCTTTTCTGAAGAATAGCACTATCCAGATAACTACAGTGTATGAATTAAGTTGAAACTCTTCTTAATAACTAACTCAAGGACTCCAAATCCAGTGATGCAGCTAAATACTTTAACTTCTGTCACTGTTTTACATGTCCCTGAAATAGACTTTTAAATGTTCCACCTCAGCTTGTGCTTCAAGGAATGCCACACTCTTGGTTTTTTTCCACCTACAGTCTTATTGTTAGACTTTTTAATCATTGACTTTGTTTTTAAGCTATTTCATTCGGTATCCTGGGTTCCTTCCAGGCAGCTGATCAAAACTCTCACACCCTGGAAAGGGAATGTCATGCAATTCTTTGTTTGCTGAAACACAATCACAGTGCATACTCTTTGTGAAAGAGCTGGCTGTTCCCAATCAATCTCTGCTGGCCTTTCATAACAACAAAGATTGAACTCTACTTATTGTTACACTTGATTGTAAACCTTTTCAATCTTTTCTTCTTGTGACTCAATATATAAACCCAGGTTCACTACAGGAAAAGATAACCCTTGCTTTCAATGGGGCTTTCACACTCACATCCCAGGCAAGATGGGCATCTTCTGAGATGCTTACATTCCAAAGGAAAATATTGAGCTGTCAGCTGCCTTGAGCCAAGGGATCTTTGGGTGAAAGCCCATGGAAGCACATAGAAAATCAGTTTGTCTTTCTCTGCGCTCAGAAATATTCCTTTCTATATCTACCAATATAAAGGAATGCACCCTCCTAGAATGTGTGAGTGTGCACTAACAGGTTAGTGTTAATTGCAATTTAGCTTATTTGCATTAAAGTAGTTAAACGCATTGATGAGAGCCCCTTCTTACCAGAGGATAGAAAGTGGATCTGTTTAACAATTTTTATTTAAACGTAGCGTGGCATAGACTCTTTTCTAACAAGTACTGAAGATCACAACTACACGTGTGGTATCCCTGAATACAGTTATGCATTCCCAAAGTCAAATGATCTGAAACAAACACCTTGCCTATGTAGAATTATTTCTCATGCCCTCCCTTACAATACTTGTAACCAGCTGTACTCTATCATTTTCTTAGGGTGTGTCATTTTCCATTTAGAATAGATGACATTAAGATATTATTCAGCAGACTTTAGTTCCATGTTTAAAATGTGCAATATTGCAGCACAAATATGCTTTTATCAAACTCATAACTTGTACAAATGTATTTCTGTTATTCATTCACTTTTTCTAGGACACTGGGTACACTGCTTTGCCTCAATAAAACATGCTAATCAATTTCACACAAGTAAACAACAAATTGATATTGGTAATACTATTTCTCTTGTATCGTCTGTTAATTAATGTTAACTATAGTTAACTTGATTTTTTCTTATTCGAACACAATTTTTTTAATGTGTAGCTCACATGTAGGCAATACATTGGTACTAAGAGCACCTATCTGATTAGTTTACTACATCATCTCTCTGAAATCAAAGCAGTAGGGTTATGGTTATCAATTTATAACAGTAATGTATTAGAATACTTGTATTTTATGAAAGCAAACTTTTTTTTATTCTTTAACAGCAGAAAGCTCAGCCATGCATTGCAGCTTTGGTCCTTCTTTTTCAAAACCTGTGGCTCTATAATCTGCCTCTTCGAGATAGCTCCTGATAACAGCATTAACATCCTGACACTTGACAATCTGGTGGATAAGAGTGCTAAAGAAAACAGCTGCCTCACTTTATTTCCACCTTGGATATGATCCTTGTTCTTTCCTAAAGGAGCTCTGCAGGGACTCTATTTGGCACTTTCAGCCTTACTTCCAAACCACTGCAGATTTCGAATTGTCATCACAACGAATTTCTTTCGATTCCCATTGACATAACTCTGTTTTTTATGTTTACAGCTTCTGAGACAAGATCTTTAGGCCTAGAATTGCATACCACAAACAAGCCTGTCAAGTTTGACAACTACTTAGAAAGCATTTTTCCAGCCAGCTGACCTTTCTAAGTTTGTCATAGCTGGCAAATAGACTTGTTCTGGGAGCATAGTATCCAAACATAGAACCATGACAACTTTCAGTGCTGTTCTTAGACTGCACTCAGATTTCAGGTATCATTAACTTTAAGGTGACATTAACTTGAGTAGTAATGCAGATGTTTTTCTCCCAACAAAAATAGTCTCACTTTTTTGATATGACAGCAGTTGCACGAAATACAGAATATTATGTTGAAGGCTTAGGTCTCATTTTCATTTGAAGCAGTGTCTCTGTGAATATGTAAACTTTTCTGAAGATGTGTGCACATGTGTGTATTCCAATATTAGGGATTTTTAAAATTTATTTAAATTCTTCTTATCCTACAAATAATGATCTCAAGGAATAAGGAGTCACGATCAATACTTCCACTAACTGTTACAAATTTCTAAGCAGGCTGATCACCTTAAGACATAAATGATTTTAAGATACACTACCTTTGAAATGTATGGAGGCTCCTCTGAAAGTAATGCCTCCTATTTTATGGAGTTCATCCACAACATTAGAAGTGGATGTCGGTGGTATGGCAGTAGAGGTTGAACCTTCCCACCACTATTCCATAACATGTTGTTGCTGTGTGACAGGTGGCAACAGAGAGGCAGTCTGACAACATGGTGTCTAGCATGGAAGTGTGTATGAAGTGAAGGGGTGTCACTGAATTTTGTCATGCAGAATAAATGACATCCATTGACACCCATGGACACTTGCTGAGCATTTATGGAGACCAAACTGCATCTGAGCACAATTAAGTGGTGCGTGGTGCATTTTAGCAGAGGTGACAGTGGATCCACTCTACTGGTACAAATTTTTACAAGCACAACGTGCAGGCTTGTTTATCACTGATGAAAATGCATAGCTAATGGTGGCTGTAGTGTTCTGTAGCTGAGAATTTGCTCTATCAAACAGTGTTATTGTGCTCTGTTGTAGTTTATATGGAAATAAATATGAAGCATTACTTTCAGAGCAACTTACATATAAATGTGTTTTTGGCTTTGCAGCCCACAGTATCAGTTGACATATTTAGAAACTGTGATTTGCTGAAAATCTTGTAATATTTTAGAGGAGGAAACGTTCTGATCTTCTGTTGTCTGTCCCTGTTTAAGCTTTTTACAGAACGCTGTCCGATTTAGTTAAATAGATATTACCTAACTACATGTAGCACAGACTTTTCCACAATTCTTTATCAATATTTTTTAATTTCTTTGTAGGTTGGTCAACTAGACAGTTCTCAGGGTGCTAACAGGAAATCTTTCTGTAGATGCATTGGAATTTTATTCTTTTCACTACTCAGTAAATACAGTTGTCTTACAGTGGTTACATGCAGCCAGGTAGTACATATTTGTGTGTGGTTCCACCACACTTTTCTGAAATGTGTCCTGAGTGTGATTGTTTCTTGTACTTAGTTTTGGAAGATATTGTTTACCACCCATTTTCAGTGTATGCATTTCAGGAGAATACCTTCAAATGTCTGGAACTGCCTTCCTGTCTCATACGGTCAGGCTGCAGTGTAACTTTGGAAGCTGCTAAGTATATAAAAATATCTGTTTAGTAGGTGAGACATCTGAAGAATTTTCAGCTAAGTTTAGTAGGAGGTCACTGAATTGCGATGGTTGCTCTTTTGCTTATTATTTTTGTTTCTGTTACTATTATTATGCTAGAAATAAGGGTAATAAGGTTAGTCTGCCAAGACTAACCTAAGAAGAAAATCCTGGTATTTCTTCACTGTACCATCAGTTTCACAGTAAGATGCCTCTAGAGAGGCTCACATAAGAGATCCTTTAAACTATGTTCTGCATACTGTTAAAAAGTGCAATTCATACTAGAATTCAAGTACAGTTTTATAAGCTGTTGCTTCGCCTGTCAGTGCAGATTCTGGTGAGTAAATGCTGCATGGTGTCATGATTTTGAGACACTTACATTTTGGTGATATTGATAGCTTTTTGTCATTGACTTGTATTAAACTCATACATCAGTATTTTTAGTTGTGGGACGGATTTTTGTAAGGCGAGGTTGAAATTTACAACAGTTTGAATGTAGTTTTGAAACTTTTCCTGCCTCAGGTTTTCAAAGAAGCTCCGGTGTGAGTAGGGTACTGTTGCAGTGTGGAGCAGAGCACACTGCTGTAGGGTGGGCAGCAGCACTGCAGCCACACTGCCAGATCATACCAGGCACTCACTCGTAGTCAAGAGTATTTCAGATAACATTTTCTTTTTCATGTCTAATAAATTTCACTTGGTTCCAATTGAGCGTGTGGCCAAAGTGGATGATCTTGCCTCTTTCACCTCTCACAGCTGTGTTTCCCCTTCCCCTCACTTGCACTGGCTCTAGCAACTGAATATCCTCAGGATGTGTCCAAGTCACTGAACTGCACTAACAGAGTAACAATAGTTTTCTTGTGGCAGTTCAATATGCTGCAGTTTCAATTAGATTATCTAATTCATGGCTGCAGTCATTGGAAAAGAACTCTTCAAGACAGAGGAAGAAGAATAGGTTTCTCCCCTTTATTGCCAGCATAATGAGAACCTTCACTGCTAATTGAAGCATGTAACAGTGAGGTTATTCTGAACTTGGTCCTGTGAGTGAATTATTGCTGTAATGTGAAACTGCACCATTACTGTATTCTCCCAGGCATTCCGTCCTGTGACCCTTTTTTTAAAAAAAACCGTTTGTCTCCTAAGTGCCCTCTTGTGGACCCTCTAATTTACTTTCATTATGACTTTCAAACTCTATCTCCCTTCTGACTGCACAGACCCTATAAAGGGAGTACCTTTGCAAGTGCCTGGCCTCTCTCTTAATTCAAACTCTGAAATGAGGTTCCTTACACCTTTGAACAGAGCAGTCACCATCTGCCTCGCTGTACCAGTAAGGCTCACCTCAATGAAAAAGAAACTGGTACTCTGCTCTCCTCACTCTTAGAACCATCCAAAGATTGAGGATGGATGGGATCTTTGAAGATCTTCTGGTCCAAATTCCCAGCTCTGAGCAAAGCCAGCTGGGACAGGTTGATCAGGGATGTATCTGGTCAGGTTTTGAAGGATAAAGACACTGCAGATTTTCAGGGCAGTCTGTGCCAGTCACCCTGAAAGTAAAATATTTACAAGCAGGATGGTGATAGTCTGGAGGCAGATGTACTTCTATAAATACCCGCAAGTTACATGTGTACATGAAAAGCAAACAGTAGCAATTAGTTGTTCTTTGTCTCAAACCTTAGCCATTTCTCACAAAATTATTCACTAAGTGCATTTTTTAATATATTATACATAAGTTCTAGAGGCTTTTAGGCAGCAATATTTTCAGCCTAATAAACAATTCAATAGAACTTTGAAAATAGATATAAATATGCTTAGTCTCAGAGGGAAAATGTGTCTGATATGCGTATGCTGCATAGGATAAGGAACACTTTCATGAATAACCCAACTGATCCCAACAGCGGCAGCTGACCTGGATGCATATGTTGCAGATAGACTCGTCTTGGGTCAAGTGTACATTAATGGTCAGGATTAAGATGTTGGTTTTGAGGAGGGGAAATCTAAGAGATGCAGTAAAACTGGTGCTCAAAGAGGCTACCAGCATACTTTAAAGTAATGCTGAAAGCAAAAGAAACTCTTTGTTTCTTAATGCTGCACTTAGCATTTTCACAAGATTGTTAGTTGGCAGATCTTTCATTACTGCCTTTTCTTTCCTGCTCTGCATTACATATCTGTACACGGCAGTTCATGACTTTAGTGATAGTCACGAAACCTACCCGAGTCACAATTCTGATAAATCTCAAACAAAGGGATCTACCATGTGCCAGTTGAGATGCCAAATCCATCCTCTCAAATCAACAGAAAAAGTTCCACATCATAGTTAATTCTTTTTTATGCAAAGTCTCATAGGGTTGTGTGAATTTCAGGTACAAAGACGTCCGCTATCTCTAAGCGGCAGATACTGCTGATAAAAGAATTGAGTGAAAATGAGACAGACTTTTTCACTGAGCTTTTGAAATGTCTGTTAATTCCAAAACTAGGCTAGTTACATTCATTTCGTTTTACAGTTAAGGAAACTAAGAAGGGAAATGACTTATTCAAAGCCATAGAAATAAAAAATTTTGAAATTGGTTCAAAGATCTGAAAACTCTCCCATTCAATTTTCTTGCCCATAGACAATAGAAATATCCCATGTTTATATTAACATGCTTATTAAATATGCTCAACAGCCATAAAAAGAGAAAACACTCCCAAATCAGAGCCTGAATTGAATGGATTTGGGTAATGCAGGCCAATGAAAGGATTGAATCTCTCACAAGGATGGTGGGTGCCTTGTCCCTCCAAGTTATTTAACACAGATTCATGGTTGATTTGAAAGATTTCAAATTGTTAATGAGGCTACAATGGGTGGAAACATGGAATCATGGCATAGGGGACCTACTTCTACAGCTGAAGTAGTAACACACAGGACATCGTTTTATAAGTTATCCCTTTTACTTCTTGTGCTCTGTTTCTCTTTAACACATAGAGTGTTACAGATACAAGCACTCATTTGACACAATAAAGTAAGAAGGCATACACAAGAATTTATCACTCATGGATTTTTTCATGGATTTTGATGGATTTTTCTTTGCTAAGAAAAATCCTTGTTGAACATTTTAGACAAAACCATATGGATGCTTTTTAGCAGTGATTAAACCATGCTTGTCAGCTAAGAAAAGCCTCTTTAAGTGATGCAGGCCATTGTGCCTGTAGTTTACTGACAGAAACAGATTAGACTATCAATCTAGTGCTTTTTTTCTACTTTCAAAAAGGAATCTGTAACAAGTTTCTGGCACAGAGCACAGTTTGCTGTACAAAGCCTCCAGTGCTGCTGAGTTTAGCAGTACTGCGGTCAGAAAGTAGGGACATAGCAGAAATCACCATTTGCTTCTGAAATTCAATAGGAACTGAATAGTGACAAGAAGTGTGTTTCTCTACTGCACCACTGGTTTTCATATTCATTCCCACCTCACTGTGCCGTATCTTCCTCCTAGCAGAAGAAATGGAAGGATAGCAAGGATTGTCAGGGATCGTCCTGCAAGGTGGGACTGGTGGTTTGAGCACCTGCAGGCTGAGGAGGAAATAAACTTCCTACCTGAGTAACAATTCTAGTCATTAAACTAAATATATAACGTGTGGAAATTCATTACTACCTTGAACGAAGATACAATGGACCAACCCTCTGAATGCATGTGAAGCATATGGTGGGTATGCATTAGACTCCATGGGAACAGAAGTGACACTTTGCCTGGTTTCTGGACAGCATCATGCTTAGATAAGAAACAGATGAATAGTTATTGGAGCTGGAGCAGCTCTTGGCAGACCAAAAAGTAGAACTGTGGACACTGAAGGAATGATTGAATTAAAAAGGAGGCAGCTGCTATGCCTGGGCCGCTACAGCACTGAGCAGTTGCATATTGAAATTTTCAGCTTAGGCAATTAAGTCCATCTATCTTACATCCCCTGATTTATATTTGGACGTCTTTGAATTTTTCTTTAATACTTTTTATCTCCTAAAAATAACTTTGACTTTCCAAATTAAAAAAACTGCTTTGTTTATTTCATGTGAGAGGGGGCTGTTGTACTTCATAAAGAGATGAACTATGTTTTGTTTCTGCAACAGCAACTGCAATTAACAATGGAATCCAATGCAATCAATTTACTGAACTGGAACCAATTATATGTCACTGTGCAAAATTACTTGAAAACGTCAGAAAGCGAATTTTAAGAGGGCGTACAGTAAAAATAACAATTATTAACTGTTTTATGTAGAGCTGTGTAGGTTTGGCTGTTGGTTGTTTTTGTTTATTTTTTTTTCTAAAATTGCCAATCTATTTTGCTTGCAAACGGCAGAGCAATATTTTAATGAGTTGTTCACACTATTTTTTTCTGCAGAAACCTGACTACAGTTAAGCTTCAGCAACTGGCATAGATTGCGTGCTCGATGCATAACTGCCTACATACAAGGAAGTGCAGATGGAGGTTTCTTCTACAACAATCTAAAGATGCAGTGGCTGAGGTCTCATATTTGTCATCCCTTCCTGAAGAAAACACCTTGTGTCCAAGTTAATGTGGGAGATGGTCACGATGGTCATTTGAAAGAGTTTCTAAAAGAAACTCGCAGTGGCTCTGAGTCTCCCACCTTTGAAGACTTTGATTTATCTCTATTACTACTGCAACCAATGACTTCTGTTCCTAAAGAAGGCCGGAAAGAGGTGGCAGGAACTGTAAGATGCGGTACATGCAAGATAAAGTCAGGAAAATAATTTCCCTTCTTTGTGCCAGCAAGTGATATTTCCTTTGAACTCACAGAAATATTTTTGTCTTTTAAAGCAAATTAGATAAATGTTATCTTTGTCTTTCATTTCCTTAACTCATTTCTTGTGCTCCTATCTCTAACTTTCTCCCAATCAAACTTTTCTTTCTGCTCCTCTCCAATCTCTACTTTATATATCTAATCCCCCCTTAGAAATCTCATTCTGACTATTTGATATTATAGAAGACTTTGCCAAACATAAATTCTGTTAAATTAGTGGCCTACTGCCAGCTTTTTTGTCAGAGATCACACATAGTGTGTTAACAGTGCAGATGATGCAGTGGTTGCTTTGCTTAATTGCTTTCTTTCTGCCTACTGCCTGTAGAAGGGACCTCAGTTTCCCTTAAAGTAACTATTTTCTTACCTGAGCCACCTGTATCCCCTCTGAAGATCCCTCTGGAGTGTGTCTCTTAAACATAACAGCTATGGCTCTCTGGAAGCTCGCTGAGCACAGCACTTGACTGGGACACTGAGCCTTGAAGGAGACAGGGTGGGACAAGCAATCCCAGCTCATTGTCAGTGTCACGCCCTCTGGATGAAGGAAAACAAAAGGTGGTTTTTTTAGTTGGAGTGCTGTGGTGGTCATGACAGCCTAACTTTTACAAGAGAGAAGGTATTTCACTACAGCAAATGAGACAGCTGGAAAAAGCAGGTGCGCTTTAGACTGCACAAACTAATTTAGCAGTTAGAAGCCCAGCTTTGGCAGCCAAACTTTGCAATGTATAACAAACAATAAAATTGAACAAGAGCTTCAGTTTAACAACCACATTCCACTCTACTCGCTTGACCTCTCTCCGAGAACTTCTGGCATCCTCCAGTTCTTATACAAGTTTCTTTTGCACTTCCTGAGAAAATGTCTTTTCTCAACTAAACTAAAGGCAGTGCGAATTCTTCACTTTTTTTTTTTTTTTAACTCAATTCACATGCCATCTAAATGATTAGCAGGAAAATGAAGATTTCTAAAACATGTAAGCATTATTTATGCTAGAGGTTTATCCAGCAATTTGGTGGAAGATAAGCTATGTACACAGGTAGTCTTGAGTTGCTCCTGTCCCAGTATGAGCAGTAACCCTGGACCATGCAGTTCAGCTGCCAAAGACCCATTATAAATCTTCTGCTTTGCCACTCTCCTTACCTGCAATATTCTTTTTTTTTTTTTAAGCCTCAAAAAAAAAATCAAAATATTGTAAAAGTTTTGTACAATCTGTTGTTTGTTTCCCCATGTCTGCGTTATGATCATGGACAGATGCTTTAAAATAAAAGAGACACTGTGCATCTTCTATTTTCAGGTGTCCCCAGAAGCTGGAGGTTCTTAGCCTCTCAAAATCTGGGCTACAGTATCTGCATTTATGAGATTCAAAATTCTCTCTGAGTTTTTTACAAACTAGACTGCGTTTTGCTGCCATTGGAATCCACTGCGATAAACAGGGATCTGACGAAGCACTAGGAAGTTTCCTCTTTGTATATAAATATTTATGTATGTAAATGGTTGTATGGTTAATTATATCTGACAAGAAGAGACTGACAGCAACTCAGATTCTCCATCCCCACAGAGAGATAGAAGTTGCTTGTTGAAGTGTCGTAGCACATCTCATGGGTTGTGTATTGAATCATTGATTAAATGCTGCAGCATCTGGGTAGCTAAAATGCCAAGGACTGCTGAAGAAGAAGGTAGGAATGTGCACTGAATACCGAATAAGAACAGGGAAATCATCTGCTTTGTACTTCTTTGTATTTCATAAACTGATCAAGAACCAGAGTGTTTGCTTTCCTTGTGCGTCTCCCTGCAGAATGGGCAGGCCACCTTGCTTTGACCTGCTCATAGGCACAATCTCTCACCCAGGAGGAGCTGAGAAAGAGTTCCATGAGAAAGCAGCACAGGCTGCATGGGGTGAAAGCAACTGGGGCTTTAAATCTGCTTATATGTTCGGAAGAAGATGGTACACAGCTAACATTTTTGAATCAGATTTGAGTATCTTTGTTATTTCCATTTCCTGTTTTTCCATTATTCCTGATATCCTTGTTAACTGGGCTTTGCATCTGTGTCCAAAGCTGCTATCTCTTAGCCGTCATATAATGCTGTCTGAAGGAAAAAGAAACATTTGGATGAATTGTACAGCACTACTTAGGACCACAGGTTTATGCATTTTCAGAAAAATAAATATCTATTTAATGACAATAATTTACAAGTAAAATCATGAAGGAGTGTAGCTGAAAAACCAGTATCCCTGCATGACATTTTTGGGACATGGAGAGCTATTTCTTTTTAATATTTCAACTTGCTTTCCTAGCATGGCATCACACACTGCTTGTGCATTTCTTGAAACAACATTTTTAAATGTGCTGCATTTTGTTTTTCTCTGTCATTTTGTAATGAATGGCAGTGTGATCTGTCAGATCTGCCATGATATACTTTTCTTCTAACACTTCAGGTTTCTAGAAGTGGGGTTTTTTTTAGGCTTTTGTTTACATATTTTCCTTTGTTGCTCACTCTCACTCTCCCATTTCCTTAAAAGCACTGCTCTCTCTTGCAGTCTGTATTCAGCATGGATATTACTTTCTTTACTTCCTCCTCACTGATTTCCCCACTTTCAGTCTCTCCTTTCTCCACTAACCTGACAGACTTGAAGAACATCATTCAGTAGTTCCACAATTCAAGAAATGCCATTAATACATGGTTTTCTTTCCTTTCAGAGGCAGACAGCAGAGAGACCTCCAAACGTCTGTTCCCTCTCTGTGAGAAGCTGGGCCAGAACATGAAAACATTGCACCCATCCATGTCAGGGAAAATGCTGAGGCTCAAGAACTAGAAAGACAGTAGAAGTGGGAAGAGGTGAAAGGTTTGGAGCAAAGCTGTGGGAGCAGTCTCCAAGTGGGTTACCATCAGCAGATGTGGTGGACATGAAGAACCCAGTAGGTCATTCGCCTTAAGGTCACTTGTACTGAAGCAGAGATGACTACTAACAAAGCTTGTAGCCCTTACCCCATGCACATATCTGCTTTGTTTATTCCCAGTGTGACAAGAGACAGACTGAACAGTTTCTGAAAAAAGGAAAAAATAGAACTAAAAGACCTAAAGCTAAAAAGTCAGTTATTGCTCTTCTGTATCCAACACCAGGTTAATGATCTATGTGGTCTCAAGGGAATCCCCATGTAAGTACTGACAAAACACAGGCACACCTGACAGGAAAAAGCAGAAAATCATTATGCTGCAGGCAGTTGCTCATGCTTTGTGAATGCTTTCTCGTATTTCTTTTTTTCTTTCTGTGGAGTGATGGAAGGTAATAATAATGCCTTCTTCTAGGACAGAAGCACACTTCCGTATGCAATAAAGGAATTAGTTAATGTTTAGTTTAGAAAGAGACACAGAAGAAGGTGACTCACCCTTTTGGAAGACAAGTAATGTCTTGAAAAGAGTGTGATCTCTGAAGAGAGATGTTGCTCCCTCAGCTGCTAACCCTTAATTGAGAGCCCCAGGTACATTGCTTGTACCTGAGCTCCCTGGGTTATCCATGCCTTCTCACCTGGTGCTCAATCATTGTTTCAGGCTGTGTCCTAGCAATTCCCTTACACCTTTGAACCCCTTTTCCTTTCTCAGCTTTACAGTCATTAGCTAAAAAGATGTTTTTTTTACAAATCTCCTTATGCCACCTTTTCTGCTTCTTTCTCTGCTGTTCCCACACAATTAGCTTCCCTCATGGGGATGCAGCATCACAATGCTGCCTTGCTCCAGCAGATGCCTATGGATGTCAGCTGACATCTTCAAGTTGCACCAAACCTCATAGGCCTGAAAAGTCACTGTAAATCCAACAATTCACTCCTGCAAAATTCATTCTCCACAAAGTTAAACTGGTAATTTACATTAAAAATTATTTTCAAGCATGGTGCAGGTGAAGCTGGCTCCGTGGCCCCTTTTCCAAAATTGTTCTTCTGGCAAAATGTATTTCTCACCACTCATTTCTACAAGCTGTGACATTGGCCTCTCTCAGTTATGTCCTTCCCTAAAATCTTTTGTGATGGATTCAGAAGTTCCTAATACAAACTTCACCCTTGAATGACTCCTTTGGGAACAGCAATATCCAAGCTAATCTCCCATTCGTGTTATTGCTGTTAGCGGAGGATTTGTTGCCATGCTTTTACAGCCTTCTGCTCGTTGAACTTTTGTACTCTTAAGAGCCTTTCTTCTTTCAGCCTTTCTACAACAAGCCAGTTGGTAGCAAAAGCTTTTCCCTTTCTTTCTAGTTCTTGCCTTCATATCCACTTGCATAGAGAACCTGTCTATTTCTATTATATATCTGTCTTCTAGAGCTGAGTTTCTTCTCTGCTTAACATGTAGCTATTTTGTATGACCCACATTCCATTGCAACTAGGATTATCTTATATCATTGCGTTTTGGGGCTCCAGTGACTGCATCTAGACACATTGTCTTATGCATGGTCTATGTTGGATGGAATCTGTGAGAAGAAACGCACACAAGGCAGTTTTCATTTATTTTTGCTGATGTTGGAGCTTCTGTTTGTAACATACTTACTTATGGTTTTCATATGCAACAAGCTTGTAGAAGCCTATACACTGGTTTTAGCCAAAAGGCCTCATGAATCTTACGCGTTTTAGGAGATTGGATTGAATTGCTCTTGAGGACTTCAGAAACAATTTGATAGTGTAGAATACTGTGCTAAATTATTTCAAGTCTTTGCTGTTATAGTACACCCCACCTTCTAGACTTCATAAAACTTATTCTTCATCACCATGTATGAATCCATCACTGGCTTTTATAGATCCAGCTGTGCAATATAAATGATTGTATATAAATGAGGAAACTACCTTTCCTAATAGACTTAAATATTTTTTAGAAGAGATACAAATTCAGTTGAAATAGATAAAATCTTAGGGCTATAGAATAAAATCATTCAGATGAAGATAACAGACAGACGACCAAATTCAGTGCTTTTCTAATTGCAGATGCTGAATCATAATACAAAACAGGTACAAAAGGAGAGGGGCTACCTGCTTAAATTAACAAGTAAAGCTTTGTGAGAAGTCTTGACAAACAGAGAACATTTCAATTTAGGATTCAAGTTTACTGACAGATTTAGGATTTTTTTAAGCCATCCTTTGTGATCTAGGATGAGGTCTTATTCTCAAAGTTGTCAAACTAGTTGTTAATATTGTCTGATAGGGAGACAAAATCTTACAAAGTTACACAATTTTACAGAGCTGTCTAAAAATGGGAGTAGAAATCCTAACTTTAGCTATTTGAATTTGGAGAGTTTGGTCTAAGGTCTGTTAGGGAACTACACAATATTCTCTGAGCTAGAACAGCTGTCAGAATGCCTAAAATCTTCATTTATATTTATAGAAGAAATTGTTGGTAACCGGTGTCACTATGCTAGTATCCACCAGCAGTAAAGCCATCCACGTTTTATTAAAAATATGTAAGTAGTCATTAAATTTAACCTGTTTTTACCAGTAAAGCAAGTGGCAAGATATTTTGATAGATATGGCACTGACTACATTTGATAAAATTAAAA